AATACCGCCGGGTGTAAAGGGACTGTGCCCGCTTCCTGGTTGTAAAGGGAGATATATGCACCTTATGAGACACCGTACATTAAACCGAGAACAACCTTCAGCTGGTATACGTAATATTCGTGTGTTAGTGGAGATAACGTACTTACGTGTAGTAACGAATTTGGGGTGTACGTGCTTTGATGGCTGTTGATGGCGCGTGAGTGAACAAACACGCTTGGAATCGCGACGATACGTAAATCGGGATCGCTTCGACGTTGCTTGTATAATATACTTTGAGGCAATTCTGACGTTTATCTAACAAGCTGACATCTAATTACCATGTGACAACCGGATCGAAAAAGATAAGAGAATAATTCTCGGACTCGGAATGCACAGGAAGTATAATTAGCGAAATACTAGAGGGAATCTGGAAAATTACGTTTGCACATTGGAGCTATACGCGTGCGAGACGCGCCGCGCGCGTATAACGCACGAATATAAATCGCGATGAGTCCGCGAACACGAAGAATGAATTTTGTGCCCCGCGTTCCCGGAGATATACGTCGTCAGTTCTAATTTATCCGAAAGCGCAATAATGGCGAGTACACGCGATATTGCGCGTGTAGTTTATCAAGCGTAATTAAGTTCTCGGTGACCGTAAGAGAATGCGGCTACTGTCAATAATAATAATATCACGCTTCTGTCGTTGTTTTTTTGCCGGCGACAGAGGCGAGCCGGCGTGTCCCGTCGTCCTTTATATCCTCCTCGCTTGGTTTTTAATTAAAATTCACAAGCCGACTCTCCGCACGCGGAAACACACCAAGAGCGTGCGGGCGCACCACCCAATTTGTCAGACGGCCGAGTGTCAGACGAACTGCGCGAATCACGCGCGAGGAACAACAATTCCGCTTGTTTGACGAAAAGCGACGAAAGTCAAAGCAATCCCGCGCCGCCGCGGTGGAATAAGCGTGACGGAATATAACACGTGGCTCATGTATGCAATTTTCGTATATGAAATATTTGACGACGGCGACATTACAACGTCATTATCAGGTCGCGGGCGGATCCGCTTTCTCGTTTAAACAGTAGACAGGAAGTTTAATGAAGCGAGTGGATATGCGTGTGGTTTCGTACGCGCGGTCTGTCTCTAGCGACGAGACAACGCGAATATTTGATTAACTTCGCGTACAATCACACGAGTTTGAATTATTACGCAACGACCGTTGTAAATCGAGACGGACTGTCTTCGTCTTTTAACTCGCGTAAATCTTTGCTTTGACAAATGAGTCTCGGAAATAAAATATTCCTATACGCATGCAATCTCTTGTCATCAGATGCGACAGTTTTCCTTCGTTTTTTTATTTCGCTTCGCTTCTGTTTGTCGCGAGCGGTTTTACGAGAAGAAAAGGCGGCGATTGTTAACGTGCCGCAGAAATATCCGCATTGAAACGCCGGACTGGTCGCGTCGTAAAATTCTGAAAATCCTCGGAGCCGCGAGAGAAGAGAGTTTCTGGATATATCCGCGTGATCGACTCCGCATATCCGTCCGCATATGCGCAGAGGGCGCATTTCTCTACCCTAGACGAGGATCCCCGAACTTTGGCACTCTTCCTGTATGCGATAAAACACAGATGCAATTTCAAACGCGCGCGCACGCGAGAAGTCGACGGCGGATTGGATGTAAAGGGTGGCGAACGCTGCAGCTGCTGCGGCCGAAAAGAGATGCTCGTTCGACCTAGTTCGCCGGGCGGTTTCTACAGTGTTGTATGTCGTGCGCATGATCTGATCCGATTCGCCGTGAAAGGTCCTGAGTTTAGTGACGTGTGTGAAGCAGTTTAGTAACACGATCGTTCGCCGGCGGATACTCGACAGGTACACATAGGTATGCGAACCGAGCTGCAAAAGCTGCCGCAGTTGCTCCGCACAAAAGCGCCGCAGATCCGAGACGCGCATCGCCGAGAAATTGGCTGGCGAAAACTTGGACGCAAAGTTTCCGACGCGTTTCCGCAACACACACAGAGGGACGTGATGCGGAGACATCGCTAAACTTGCGAGCGTAAACCAGAGCTGAGAAACAGATCCTTCTAAAACGAATTCTTCAAGCAACTAGCGTATATATTAACTTACTCGAACATGTATAGTTTTGCGAGTTCACATTATTTGAAAAATTGATACAAAAGTTTAACTTCGAAGAGAAGAGATTTGATTTTTCTTTTTCGAACATCCACACAAATTGCTCCCGTAGCGGATTAACAATAACCGCAATATTTTTAATAAAACACTCAAATTTTCATTTGTCTTTTCTCATGTTTCCGATATAATCCTTACATTTTCCAGCTCGTTTAATTAAAACACTTCTCTCTCTCTTCCATAATGTTTCGTTTATAATTCCGCGCATCTTTCAAATTCATCAGTGCTTGATACCATTTCACACTTTGTAATCTAATTTTTCCTGTTATGAATAATTCGTCGTATATTTAAAAGTTTCCCTTGCGAAGTTTAATTAACGTTAAGAAACCCTCTTGACTTTTGCCAAGTTTCGCGCGCTATACTACTAACGGATGGCGTTATTCCGCTGAGAGTTTCAAGAACAAATTGCATACCGGGACGGATACAATCGCGCTCGGCGCCTCTCCGCACGACGGATACGAGTTGTGGGAAACTGCAGTCGACGTGGACGCATTCGCAACCGTGATTAATGCCAATCAAGCGGCGATTTCGCGTTCTGAATTCGGGATCCCCGTGGGTCGACGTCACAAATCAATAGACCCGGTAAACCGAGCCGATTAAGGATGCGCAGCCGAGAGCCGAGACCGCGAGTCCCAGAAATGTGACGTGGGTGGTGGTTTTGATCTGAATGCGGAATAATCAGGATTCCGTAGTTACACTGTTTTGTATTCCCGGTCGTAAAACTCGACGATACTACACAGATAATCGCTTTATCGATCAGATTCTTCAGCGTCGAAATACACGTTAGAACAAGGAAAACGCGCGCGCGTGTGTGTGTATGTGTGTCCTTTATGTTAAAATTTTTATTTCGCACACGGTATATCTCTCGCAGTAAAAACGCGCATCGAATATTTATTTTATGCGCATTTTTTTTATGACTGCCATTTCGAACACGTAACGTGGCTAAAATTGCTCATTAAAATTCTAATCCGTTATACAAGCTGTCACCCTTTGACATTTTCTACTTAAGTTTTAACACCCAAAGAAGAGAATAAAAAAAGATTTCACTCTATAGATTAACTATAATATTTGTAAAATATTGTTCCAATGTGATATAAAAAGGAACAACAATAGAAAATGATAAAATTGATCTAAACTCGTGTAACGCACGTAGAATCGAACAATTTTCCGAGCGTTTTCCCGACAAATCACGATCCGTCTGTGAGATTCTCGGCGGGAAATCGGCGGAATCGCGGAAAAGCCGTCGGAGTCACGCGTGCGACGAATTGAACGGTCTTCTGGCTCATTAAGAGCGATGGCAGAGCAACGGGTTTGTTGCACACACGCACGCGTGCGCGCGGGCACACACACACATACATACACAAACGACGGTTCGCGATCCTTGATGATCGTCGCGTGTAGCAATACCTGTCCCCGCTTTAATAAGATCGACACCGATGAACGTCCGAACATCGGAGAGCACCGAGTTTCTCTTCTGCCGACAACGGACGAATCGATTTTGCCGACGGGACGCCTATGAATAACGCGAGATCCGGATTAAGAAACGGATCGAACACGACCCCGCAGGACAACCAAAGTGACGGTACGTGTTTCTCCTTTGGCCCGAAGTGTACGAAAGGTCGCGAAAGAGACGAAAGTTCGTGACCCATATGCCGTGCGTGAGAACACAAAAGTCCTGCGAACCGTTGTGTGAAACTTATGTGTTTACGGCGAGCAAAAAACCCAACACATCCCTTATTAAAACGAATAGCAGACCTTAATCCTGTAACATCGCACGCCTCGTATTATATAAAGTTGCTCAATGTACAAGAGTTCCGTATCCAACGAATGTTCTTCGCAGCGGGGAGGAGATATTTCTCGGCTAGTTTAATATAGCAGTTTCAATTTTTAAATTATCGGATTTATAAAGGACTTCGAAATAAAATAGAAATACGAGTCAGAAAAATCGATGACAAAATTATCCGAGAGGGCGTCCTCTAGAGATTAAGTGTGTCATGCCGAGATACGAACGACCCGAATAATGCTGTTATTATTATACGTACGCATTTAATATGTAATTATAAAATATCTTGTGACGCGCGACTAACATTTTCAACCGAAAATTTCAGAGGAAACGTATGCCGAGAATAAACGTCGAGTTTCTCTAACGCCGTGCTTCTCCAAACTCGCAGAAAGTGCGCGCACTTAAATTAGGAACGCGCACGGTTCCCCGACAAAGCTTCGTGATAGCGAGCACAGAGGTTTCTTTAATTTTCTCCTATCGTCCCTTATCTGCACACAAGGGATCGTGCGAGTTTACGAGCGTCGACTGCGCTTCGTTGCTCGCTTTGACCACTTTGTACTTGTATAATACAGTCTACTGCAGAGAGTTGTTCTATAATTTCAGAGAAAAGACTCAAGAACAGGTAACGTTATTAGTTGCTTTCATTATACTCTTTGTGATACAAAAATATATACAGATTACCTTTTATATCGAATAAATACATGACACGAATTTAATCAGGATTTTCATCAATTTTTGTGCTTTAGCTGAGAAATTGTAATTCTTGTTATGAGAAAATGTATTTGTGTGACTGCAAACGATTACACGTGAAATCAAAAATCTCGCACGAGATCATCGGGGTGATCGTGTTCACCAATCGCGACGATGTGACATTAAAGAGAATTCGAATTATCGAATCGTCCCCTAGATAAAGTTGCTCGCGAGGACTCGCGCGAAAGTCGTGCTAAACAAAAGAATTAAAACACTCTTTGATCTTCTTGTCTTCGACAGAGTCTAACTTCGATATCGAACAACCGATGATGCAAATAAAAAAAATAAAGGTACTCACCGCGATTATTCGCACTCGTTCCCGCAGACGCTTTTCCGGACTTCTCTCGAGTGTTCCTCCTCCGGTGTATCACTCAGATCAGTTCTCTAAGTCCTTCTCGTTCTACAGCACTCGCAGTAGTTTTCTCTCGCACATCGTCGTCCCTTTTCTCATCCCCTCGAACCCCTGTTCGTTTCCCCCCCCGGGATTTTTCCCAAAATGATCGAGGGATTGCGTCTGTTCCTGTTTTTGTTTTCTCGGGATTCTCTTCGCGAATGCGCGACTCGATATAGAATTCCGATCGAAGGGATCTGATCCTTCGCTAGGGAGAACGTGAAAGAGATATATAATGCCTCTCGAAAAGCTCCGCTTCACTCGGAGCGCAGTAGAGAACTGAGCGAAGTGCCGGCCGGCCGAGCAGCCAGGCGGGCTTTTCCGAGAGCGGTTTAACCAATCGCGACTTCTCTCTCACCCAGACGTATCTTTCGCGCGCGCACTCTCTCTCTCTTTCGCCTTGGCTCCCTTCTCCGTATTGTGTCGCGACGCTCCAGACGCCGCCGCTGCGCTCGTCGTCGGTCCTGCGACGCGCGAAGCATCACATACACAACCCCCTGCAGGTGCATCATCTCCCTCCGTTCGCAAAATTCGGCGACCGCTGAAAGTAAATTCGCGAACGGCAAACTCCGATGCCACGATTTCACGACAAGCCAAGTAAAATCGATATCGCGCGTCTTGTATTATTAATTGATAATCAGAGAAAAATACATGTATTAATAAAATAATAAAATATGTTATACATTATTATATATAATATTAATATTTATTTGTAATATTAAAATAATATTTTAGCAAGAATCGATATATATATATATATATACATATATCGTGCATTAATTTAAACGTTAAAAAGCATATATTTTATTATTGCAATATTTTGTATTTTTTTCTCTCTCACAGAAATGTTTTCTCTAGAAACTCCTCTCGTGCACAGATATAATTCTCAACTTTCTTTTAGAAGCCGTCTAAATCCGACATCCCGGCAATCGGAAGCGCGCAATATTGCCGCGCGGAAGTTCAACTGTGGTCGTCGTAAAATCCCAAGAAAGATTTCTGGAACGACCAGACTCGAGCAAAATAGGTTAACCAATCGTGAATTTTCTACCCGTTCGATGCGCTTCTTCTTTTATTTCGCCCGTCCGTTCATTCTGGTGTCGGGCGAAGGGTGCAACGCGTATAGTCCCGTCGCTTACGAAACGAGGCAAACGCTTCGCTGTGCAGCATCTCTGCTTGACGCGCGACCTCGGCAACGGAAATTACACTTATTGTTAGACACAGCGTTACGATGGATTTCAATTCGCGAGGAAACATTTTCGGTCGGTACCCCGCGGAAGCTGTCGAGCTGTTGCTCGACATTTCTCCTCGAAATAACAAAAAAAATCTCAAAAGGGAGAAGAAAAGCGAGAAACGCGGCGGTATATATCTGTTGTCGGAGAAATACTTTCGGCGAAAATCTCGACGGAGCGTTGCGACGCGTCTTACACAAGCAAACGTAGTCCGCGCGCGACCCGCCTTTCTAAAAGAAATGTAAATCCTTTTAACAGCCAACGGTTTAGTCTGTTTATCTTCGGAATTCAGGCGCGCCGGTATCGGGATGGGGAACGTGGGAATACATCAGAGAAGACACGTGCCCCATCAGCGGACACGATGTAAATGATTTTCGCGACGTGTCTTATTTGTCGACGAAGCATTCTCGAAGCACCACCCTTTGGTCTTTTAGCAAAATTTTCCAGAATTGTTTACTCGGGTAATCGCACAGATGTAAGTCAAATAAAGAATTTTTATCCGCACGCTATCGAATGCAGTGCAAGTTCGCAATTATTTGCGCAAATTTTTTCTTGCGCGTTTTGTCAACGACAGAGCAGAGGAGGAACTGCGGTTTCCGGCGTCGCCAGTATACAAATTGGCTCTTCCTATTCGTGATCGCGATTAGCGATTTCGCCCGGCATTAATCTCGTTTTCGCGACGGCTACGAGGCAGACTACCGGCTCAGGAAATTGATGAGTTTTCTACGAAAGAGAGAGAGAGATAGAGAGAGAGGGAGGAAGGGAGAGAATAAGGAGAATCGAGTTACGGACGCCGGGAAAGAACCGCTTGCCGATGACGAAGTCGTCACTTTGGCGCGAGAAATTAAACGCGTCGTGTTATTCGCTTATCGACGCAATTACGCATTTGCGACGTCTCGCTCTATTTATTCCTGCATTGCGCGCTCGTTATCTCGGAAAAACACACATGAAGATTAAATGACTTTTGAAAATATATCGATGAAATCGTGTGCTTTCTATGAGAACGACAAGCGAATCGTTCGTTTCGCGCGTGGAAGTTCAGGTTTAAAGCACAATGATTTGTAATAAGACGTGATCATAATTTGCACATCCTCTAACTATAAATTTTAATTGGATTAACTATAAATTTTAATTAGATTTTTTTATACCCACACAAATGTAAGTGCGTCAGGTTTGTCTTGTTCCAAGAAGATTTGCCATTACTCGCACTTTTCATTTATCAGCGCGCGACATTTTTTTCTTTTTAATAAGAAAATCTAGTTTATCGAGAGAATTTTCTCGCTTTGAACATACGAGAATTTCTTGTGAGAAGCTCCGATATTGACTGCGTTCAGCTAAAGCAACACACAGCCGCGTTAAACGTTAAACGACCAATGCGTTTTCGCGCGCGAGAGAAACGAGAACTTCTTTCGCGAGAGAAGCCCGGAAGGGACGTCTCTTTCAATAATGTCGGGAGTTTACCGTAGACGCGACTTCGTCCAAGAGGGATTCGCCGGCGGAGACGTGCCGGGATTCAAACCGCGTCGTCGTGCAAAAGATCGCACGGAAAAGAGGACGAAAACAAAGCTCCGGCCAGCGCGTCGCGTCGTCTACGTGCGAGCCGAACGGAACGTGATCGAGGCCTCACTTTCGAAGTCGCCTGCAGTCAGTCGCTTTCCTGACGACCGATCCGTAGTACTTTTACCGACTCGGTGGATGCTTTTACGATACTCGCGACGTGCCATTTTTGTTGATCGAGCTATCTGCCTTTAGCACTATTTATGCGATTAAACGCGTTGTTTTTTCCTTGAATACTATTGTAGACTACAAAAATCGCAAATGCGTACACGTTCTAAAATTTCTCTTCCGATCTCTTCCGATTTAGAAATTCAATCGTGTAATCTAGATTAATATTATTTAGCTCGTGCAAACAATATTGATTAAATAAAAAAGAGTTGAAAATTGCAACAAAGAGTATTTTTGTGTCTTTTTAACTTAAAAAATACCATAAAAATTTGTAATATTTCTGGAAGCACAGAAGAACTTTTCAAAGTCGACGGAGGAGGAAAAGAGTGCTAATATAATTCAAATTGCGCGACCTCATGTTTATTTCATTCGCATTTCCCTGCGTCTTCTATTCCTAGATAGACTCGAACTGGGAATACTGGGGAAGTTCGAGTTGCGTTGCGGTCGAAATAATACACGCGCGCGCCTCGAAAACGTCAAACATCATTCGGCGTTGGAAGTTTCGGTGTAGCGCATGATATCACAGGACTTTCACGCAAGAGCAGTAATTGTTACGAACTCGATATCTTGCTTGCCAGAAGTTCGATAACCAGGTTATGTTACTAGATATATCCGCAACAAGCAGCCGGCTTGCACACCAACAATTAATTTGTTCTGTACGAGAGAAGCAGAACTGAGCCATCAAACCTGTACCTACGACGGGTGAAATTGTAATTTGCAGTCCTGCTATTCGAAGAAAACAATTAAACGCTGCGCTTTCTTCGTTCGAATTAAATAACTTTAATATATCTCTATCTTGTTCTTTATAATATCAAAGACGTTAAAATATAAATACGATATTAATCCTTCGTAGACTGACTTCCAAAACAATCTACTGGTTGGACTGACTGGGTCTGAGTCAGTCCACGCGACTTAAAAATTCAACATCTTTGCGAAAAATCAATATTTTTTCTATTTGTTTTATTTGTTTTGAATCAAAAGTTTGAACGATTCTGCGTCGATAAAAAAAACAAGTTGAAAAAATATCTAGTAGTTTCAAAGATATAAACATTTAAAAGCACTTAATTTTAACTAAAGATACCGGTTGAAAATTTTTAGTTGGGTCTAGAAGATCCATCGTCAGTCCACGAAGGATTAATGAAAATACCTGAAATAAATGTGTGCAATATAATCGATAACAATTAATCACCGTGTTTATTATCGATGTTTGTAATTTAAGAGCAAGTGTATTAATTAACAGATATTTATTAGTGGCAATTTTGCGCTCGGACACGCTCGGTGAGAACCGAGCTCATTGATTTCGCGAGAATTCGCACTAGCCGATTATGCGCAGGATGATTGAGAATAGGAAACACGCACTACTGACGTAGATGATGATTAATAACGTATCAGTCATGCATGCATCGCGTTTACGCTACACGTCTGTCCGCTTTCTAAGTCGGCGTCGTAAATACTGCGACCCAACAGCGAAGATCCGCGGTCAACGCTGACTGAATGTGGAATGTACGCACAACCGGAAGTGGGATACACACGACTTGCACACGTGTGTCAGATTTTACTTTCATACATATGTGTACGAGCAAAATATATCCGGTAAAAAGAATCGCTGAGAGTTCTTATGAAGTTTCTTGAAAATTGATCTATTTAGATGAATTCAACCGGAGTGAGAGTTCGCAAATGCATGTTTATTCTGACGAGTTTTCTACGTAATAGATACGATGTTACACTCACTCGTGTAACCGTAAATTCGCATCTGCTTCAATTTCTGTTCGGGAAAAAAATCTTCGCGTCGATATTCCATTAAGATGTAGCATAACGCATCACAAGCGCGCAAATCCGGCCGAGCAGGATACCGGTTTGTTGTCAATGCAAAACGCGCGCGCATAATTGACAAGAAGTTTACGACGAGGGAATTACGACAAGAAGTTTATCGCGGCAAAAAACGTAAACCGTATCATACGAGAAACAACCGCGAGCGAGGAAAAATGTATATATCTCGTTTGCTTCAAAGTCGCTCGTAAAAGTGAAATATCGCGCGCGCGACGTCGCTCGTTTTCTTTACATACGAATGCAATGTACTTCGTCTCGACCCACACGCGCAAAATTACATGTCGACAAACTTCGAAATCATCATCGAGCGAAGAGAGTAATCGTCTCGTGTTGCCGACGCGCGCGCGAACCGACTAATGGACCAGAAATGATCGAGCAATTGATCTGTAAAAAAACTTCACGGAAACACGTCGATGACTTTCCTTCTCGACACGCGAATCACGCGTGAAATCTTTTTCCGAAGTCTCGCCGATTCAATTTCGTCATTCGATCCCCGGCTGATCATCTTCATCTACTCCAATGAAATCGAAACAATCGATCTTTAATCCTCTCCACGGTCAACGTCCTATGCATAACTGCCCTGTCAACTATACTTATAAACTTTCACTGTACATATCGACGAAACTAGTGCGGAAAAAAGTCGAAGAACATCCCAATTTACTTTTTTTTTCTTTTTCTAAAGAAATTTATTTAATTGTGTGTATAACACGGTTGTGTACATGAAACAAAAGCTGACCTCGTGACTGATTCATTGTCATATGAAAACAAAAAATATTTTGTTTTTGTATAAATTCTTTTTTTTGTTTGATACACAAGAGAAAATTAATAATAGAATATTGTAATTAAATTCTTGCAAACCTTAATTAAAGAGAGAGTTCAATATTCCCTGATAAAATTAAATTAGAGCAATGACAGTGTATTTTCCTACTGACAAAAAATGATAAATCCGAATATGTGACTATCGATTCGCATGTGAACGGTATCGATTGTGTTGGCATGAACTTGTACTGAAGGAGACGCGTGCACAAGAGGGACAACGTAAAAACCGGTTCTCTCGGTTTAACAGGTGAACGATTCACATCGCGCGCGCTGTGTACCTGTACAACGAAAATCTAAAACACTTCCTCACGTCGGACATTCCTTCGCGCGTACACGAAAAAAGTAGGTCGTACCGGAAGAAACGAAAGTACGAAAGCGATTTCCGCATTAGTCACCGGCTGATTGTCGTCGTGCAAAGTCGCCGATAATGTTCGAGAGAAACGCTTTCGCAAACCACTTCGATCCAAATAATTCAGAATAAAGGATGCAGAACGATTAATAAAACACAACTATATAGCGCGTTACTAGCACAAGAATCGAAGAATAAAAAATATAACTTAGTATGAACTTAGTGTGCATGGAAGCAATATGGAGGCAATATGGAGGACACAAAGTTTTGTACGTCATCATTTATTGAAATCGATTATATCGTACAATAAGATTATATCAGCGACGCATGTACCGCTTGTACTAGCGTAGCAGTATATTCAAAAATAAATACTATCTATTACACTGCTCTTGGAAAAAATATACCGCTAAGAGATCTTTAACAAACAATCTGTTGATACTTAAATGCGCAATTGTTTTGGAAAAGTCAAGCAGAGATTTCTGACTGTTGCATGCACAGTTAGAGAAGACATCATCGGAAGAGAGAGAAAAACTTTGCAATACATAAAAAAGATTTTTATTTTTATTGATTTACTTGACGCTTCGCCCGGAAGAAATCATCAATTTGAAAGATATTCTTCTTTGTAAGTTACTGATTAAAATCGAAAACTGCATGCACTAACACAATAATTAGGTTTTAATGTTACACGTCGGTTGGTCGCGTATTATTCTGAAAAATCTGGTCTTCTTAAGTAAAATATACATAGATATTATACATTTATACTAAACACTGGAAGTGGAAAGGACTGTATTTTTTTACGAAGATTTCCGACCTTTTTTCGGAAGTTTTAGAATGTATGAAAATAAATTATATATTTAAGTACACTAGTTTAAAAAAAAAAACTTCTTTAACCTTTTACGGTCCATATATACTTTAACTGAAATAATTAGGACTTATACTCGGAAATGTTACGAAAAAATCGTAAAACATTAATGTCATAAAATGAGTTTATCTCAAACATGAGATTGCAAAAGATTAAATTACTTAAAATTAATCATATACGTAAGAGTGTATCATGTAAGTCTGTGGTATAATTCTTGTTAACATAACGATGCGTTGCATATTGTCTTCAATAACATTAACGATAAATAACGCATACTCATAAATATTAACTGAAACAGTAGGCCTAAGTTTACTTATGAAAATATATTCGCATGGCGCTCGGAAATATAACATATGCGTATAATAACTTGAGTTAAATAAATAAACACAACACACACAGATTTGAAATTAAATTATTAATGTTAACACGTAATCTTTTACTAAGTATATTGATAAAACAGAATCAAATAAGTAGATGTAAAATAAGTAGACTAGTTTCTGTCACAAAAATTTCGCATATTGCATTTGCACAGTGTTTGACTATTTAGAGTACAAATTACAACAGTTTAAACAATCACTTTAGAAATCACACGAAAAAATAATTGCACTTTTACAATTAAAAAAAAAGTGTCAAATCTTTCAGAGAAGTAATTATGTAAATTAAGTACAACGTACCCTGTCCACAGTACTTCTATTTCAATCTCTTTGAAAGTCGAAAGTTAGGAAACACTTTTCGTCTATATGTCAGACAAATAACAAATTTCAACCTACTGAGATATAGAGCTAGATTTTCTAAATAATGTTCGATAAAAATATATAAATATATTATCAACAAATCTAAAAAAACAAACTGGAAGCATGTGTTTTTATAAGCAATTGCATCATAAAAAAGAATAAATATTAAAATTAAAATATCAAAATACTAAAACATCTATTCTACATTAATAATATTAGAGGACGGTCTGATACAAAAAAAAAAAAAAAAGCTGTCATTTCACCGGGGAATATGTTCAAATAGTCTGCGTTTATCATTTTACTGAATACTCCACAGAAAAACAAAAACCGATTAAGGTGTCAGATATGACACAGATCAGAATGTATTATAACGAAGATGCCTCTTCATCGGGAATATTAACTAGCTCTTGATTCCAATAATATAAAGGTGGTCCACTGGTAAAACAGTACTTTTGCGTTAGTGGAGTGTCATTCTCCACGTAATACATGACATATAAATTACACATCTCATCCTCGTTCGTACTACCTATATACGTGGGTCTGTTACGTGTGCTTTCCATTGTGCAGCGAGCTGCCAGTCTATCGCCGAACGTGATTGGCACTTTGTTAGTTATAGGATAAAACATCTGAGGAGTCAATGGATCCCTCTTACCGATTTCGATCCATTCGTAATTCGGTTTTACAACGTAGCCTGAAACTACTTTTCCTAACGAATGAGTATGCGTTCTATAAGCAAACGGATGAATAGTTTTATTCTCTTTTATAAGGCAAGCTGTCTCCATGTGTTCCGTTTGTCTGGGAGGTATGAAACCACCTGTGCCCAATAGAATAACACCGGCCAATTTGTTTAATCGTCGCGTTGTATAATGCAGAAATACACCTGAATCGTCTGTACTGCCATCCTTAAAACGATCGATGTGTGCGTAATGCACCTGTAGAACGATATATTGTATGGGAGAATCGCCACCGACTTGGAAGCCCACTCCATTTGGTAAATCCAACTTAGGAGCATCTCTTGCCCATGCATATATAATCTGTTTGAATAATGATTCATCATATCCAAAAATCCACTATATATAATGCACTAAAATATGTGTTACTCAAAATATATGTAATAACATGTTAATAATATTAATTATATACAAACTTGAGATCCTTTACTGCAAGGAGATGCTGTATCTCTGCTTAAGGAGGAAGTCATTTCTCCACAATCCCACACTGGTTTTGAACTGCCGGGTTTGATACAGCCGTAAACAAGTATGTGATGCGCAGTTGCCATTGTTGCATTTGGCTCAAAACCCGTGATATAATAACTTTGTGTAAAATCTACTCTCACTGGAGTGCACAGATATAATTCAGGCTGCAAAAAAATATAATTATAAAAAACACAATTTCCAGCAATATATGAACTAAAGAGAGAATATACTTTATAGAGAATATACTCAGCAATATATACTTTAAACTAATTTTAAAAGTGAATTTTTAAAGTTTAGTGCTTACTCTGTTCGGCCGGACATTCGGCATAAGCAACGCATACTTTCCTTTCTCATTGTAACAACACGTGAGCTTGAAAGAAATCACGAATAGGAAACAACACGTCAACAAATATCCTTCCCACATTTTCAAAACTAATAATTTCTATTCACTATCGGCCGTTATCAAGGTGTCCATCTGTCAAACGTCGGGAATCGCTCAATATGACATTCGTCCACGACTATACTCGAACCAGGGGGTTCAAACTCGCCTCTTGTGAGAAGGGGAACGCTGTTTTCAGCGCCGCCTGGGCTAGGTCACCGGAAGTAGTGTACTAAAGAACGAGTGGTGGGAGGTACCGCCATATTTAAACCGTCGCACGTGCGTGCCAGTATAGGTATACTTATACAGCGAATTCGATAGCCTGTACTAGTACGCATTGAGTGCGACTTTTTTAATGAAACTTTTTTT